GATGATTTTTTTAGTCGGACGTTTGGTCTTGGGCCGGGATTCGAGGTCCTTGTACAGGACATCCCAAGCCCTAGGCTCTGCAGGGGAGGGGTTTTCCCTTGCGAAGAGCCTATTTGATTTGCCTACCGTGACACTCAGGTCGAGAGCCTGAGGTGCCTCGGCGGCTGCACGACTATTCCTTCAGTCGTGCAATGTCGTGAAGGGTCACGCTCTCACGACACTTCAAGTCTGACACTTGAGTGTCATAAGCGGTACTCGAATCCACGAGGGACCGCTTGATTATGGGCACTACATAATACACCATCGTTGCGAATGATTGTGTACGCCTGCATTGCAAGTCGATATGAATATGCCCTGCGTCCGCGCGGTTTTATACTAGGTTCAGCGCGCGACGCTTATCCGATTTCCGCATTGGAAAGTTATGGGTTGGCTACCAAGGGGCTAGGAGCGTTGTCGCGTTGTTGGTATTGTGTTGTTTCGTATATATGTTGTTTTGTGTGTATGAGTGTTCGTAAAGTGGAGTGCGCGTGGTATGTGGGATGCGTCCTAGTCGACCGACGATGAGTCGCGCTTGGGACCTCAGCCCCCCCAAGATGTCGGTTCGCATGCGGGTGCGATAGAGGCGTATTACCGCGCGTACCCCCTATGCTACAGTGAACGAGAAACGCCCTCGGCTGGTCCACCTCTGCGATTGCAACTGATTAGCTTTCGTACTGTGGACTGGTAGCTCGACGGGGATACGCCCACCGAAGGGAGGTGACAACTCCCATAAGGTGTACGTAAGTCGTGCCTCGCGTAGGCCCTATCTTGTCGTAGGGGCTCGCGAAAGGTATGGTTGGCGCACCCGGCCGGAGCGGCTTGTGGAAGCTCCATGTATATTGCGACGAAGGGTTCTAAAAACCAACTCCTGCGTGACGCGGACGGGAGGGTCCCGCGCTGCCCCCGTGCGGTGCCAGACCGATGCGCCCGACAGGTGGCGCCGTTGCCGGGGATAACGAAAAGCCTGCCGTTGTCCCTGGTGGAACGACATCTGGGTATGAGAAGTGAATAAGAAAAGGCATAAAGGAGTGATGAGAAGGTAATGAAGGAATATATGAATGACTAAGTGTACGTGAGTAAATTTACCTACCCAAGTAAAGGAAGTATGAGGGACGATCGTGTTAACAATGGGTAAAGTAAGTACTAAGGGTTAGGTAGGACGAATGGAATAGACCGGTCAAGGTATAATGTTGAATAAGGGGATGTACTTGTTTTCTTTAGCCAGGGAACTTGAAAAGAAAAGGCTGTCAAGATGCCTGAGACTGGCGGCGCATCAGTTGTTCCCAAGAAGGGCCTGACACTCGATGACCTCATCGCGGTCATCGACCGACATGAAAGGAACCCGAGCAAC